GAAAAATAGTTCAATAATGGCAAACCAAGTCTACAGGGTTACTGGTAATTCGATACATTCCTTTGGAGATGTGATAGGGAAGGTGGTAAAGAGTGAATTCAACCCTTATATGCCTTATGCAAAAGTTGATAGTTTTTGAGATATTTGAATTTTTCTGTTTATCTCCAAAAGTGAGTTTTCCGGAAAATATGCTATACATTTATAAATTGAAATAATACTCATATTTTTATTTTATAGAAACAAGGAGAGAAAATCCCCAAAAATCTGGAATAATGCTATACATTTTTTCAACCTTTCAACTAGAATACATGATCAACATTATGGTCTTATGTTTGGAATGAAAAAATTCCAAGAAATAATTTAGATCAAAGATAAATTGTAAATAGGAAGTCATATTTTTGTTTGTGAATTATGAATTGTAACACTTTCTAGCTGTTATTTTTAGAAAAATCTCGAAGGCACATTTGTCAAAAATTCGTCAAAACTTTCCTAAAGCGACTGGGTACAAATGGATACTGGAAAAACAGAAAAATTTGAATATCTTTAAAACTATTGACTTTTATAAAAGGCACATTAGAGTTGAATTCACCCGTTACCACCTCCCCAAACACATCTCCAAAGGAATGTATCGAATTACCAGTAACCCTGTATATGGTATTATTGTAGCATTTTACAATAATAACCCATAGGGGTACTTATTTGTTAAATGTATGTCTGTTCTTACTACCGTTTGTACCATAATGATGTCATTGAATTTTGGACTTTTCTGTAAATGCTTGAGCAAGTAATCTACACTTTTTCATTAACATTTCATAAAAAATTAGGTACTTGCAGGTGTAGTACTGATGATGGCATATTATAGCCGAAAGCGCTCTGCGATGAAATTTTACACGATATTTCTTCATTTGAATGCTGTTTCGGCTCACCAGGTCTAATCAGCCACACTCGGTCTGCTGACAATTATTGGCACAACTCAACGCCTCGAGTTTATCACCCACATTGATTTCTGTGTGTTGACTCTATGAATATACCGGAAGTCATAGAGCTTTCAGCCCAGCAGTTGGGTTATCTAACATACAAAACATTTCAAAAAATTGTGGAATTCATTTGTTGCCCTGGGAACACCATCACCATGTATTTCTACTATAAAAATTTGAGAGCAAAATCAATATTGCAAAATTGTTGGAATATGAATATGTTTCATTCATTACATAGGAATTCATATGATTTTTTCAATAAATAATATCACTTATGTGATCAATATTACCTATGTGAACTCATGGACTAAAGGACCTAGGTCAATTGCCCTTTGTACTTCATCAGTGAGATGAAGATCATTTATTATTATGATCATATATATATTGTCAAACTCAACTGAATATTCTGTGTTATCATTGTTATATGTATGTATATTAATGTATCTTCTAGAAAATATCTCAAGTGGTTAGGTTTCATTCGAAAAACGAATTTGACTTAGATATTTAGATCCATGGTAGGAAGGGGCTGAACTCGATTTTTGCTTTATACCCATATTTAGGCATGGGAAGACCCCCATCTATATTATGACAAACTATATACTTATCACATTACTTCTCCTTGAAAAACACATTTGTAAGTAATAGTAAAATTTGATGTACAAACCAGAACTATTATTGTTTTTATGGAAGGGCCTATCTATTATTTCCTATTTTATTTAGAACACTTGATATTTTTTCTTTGACTCTCTCTGTTTATATTGTGCCATGAACAGAGACAACTATGGAAATAAAATCAACTTTAGCAAGTTTAGCAATACAAAGTAACAGGCCTTTGAATAAGTTTGGTGGATCAAAGTATTCATTATGTAAGTAATTATTTTTTTAATGAATTCCATAATTTCAATGAAGGAGTTATGTCAGTTATGTGAAGGACATCACCCATACTTTGATGGATTTAATGAATGAAAGATTCCTGTACATATCCTCTTTCAAGTCTTAAAAGGTGTTAAAAAAATATAGTTCATTATGTTTGCAGTGAACATGACCTCCAACCTTTATAACAGTTAATAATACTCCAAAGTCATGCTTTTTTATCATTATAATAAATGTAGGACTTTAACATTTCAAACTCAAACATTGTATTCTCCTAATAAAGTGTATTTCCTAATAAAAGTTTATTTTTTATGATAACTTGAATATGGATTTCAAGCCCTCTGAACAGAGGCGGACTGGCGGGCCGGGCGGTCGGGCGATCGCCCGATGGGCTGGGGCCCTTTGGGGCCGGTAGAAACAGTGAATGAATAAAGAAATATAATGTCATCTCAACAGCTTTCTGAAGTATGAGACCATCATATCTGCAATTTTGATTAAAGAAATCTTCAATTTCACCACCCCTCTTTCGAGCTAACTACGAATATCAGGTTCCAATGGATATTTTAGAAGCATACTGAATCGTCGGAAAAACCATGAATTCCTTGAAAAAATATCGCGAGAATATGATGTCATTTTGATTGATGCACATAAATTCATTGATAAAGCAAATTAACTATTTATTTTCAAAGAACACGAAATAAAAAAAGTTTTTTGACGAGAAAGGTGATGATGAAGCATTTCAAAATCCCATCAAGAAATTTAAAATTGAGACTTATGTAATAATTGATAATATTATCACCGCACTGGAATTCAGATTCAAGAAACATAAAGAATTGTTTCATGATTTTGAACTATTTGATACGTCAAGATTCACAGATGATCAAATAATATTGACTGAAAACTCAATAAGGATGATTTATGAAAATATCAAAAATTATTATCCTTCTGATGAAATAAGCCTTGATAGATTTTACCTCGAAGTGGGAAGACTGTTGATTACTTTATCAGAAGATATGATGGGTGGAGGAACTTATGTCTTCGATGTAGAAGAGGAATTGATTTCATCAAAACACAAGTTTCGCAAAACATTTTCACTATGTTCCTTCCATGGTTTGCACAAATAAAATTTTTACGTTGAGGTATATCCATATTCAGATAAAATTATTATCACCCTTTCAGTATCGCAGGTTTCATGTGAAAAATCTTTCTCAAAATTTAAATTTATTTTGATTAGGCTAAGAAATTATCTGAGCCAAGAACATTTGGGAGCTGCGAAGAAACGATTTTACAATCAATTGGAAGCGACGATATAATTTTCGATTTCGTTGAGAAATGTGGATCCATGAGAGGTTCACTCGTTCTGTGATTTCGATATCTAATGCGGCTTATGTTTTATTTTGGATGAATAATTTTCCCAGTCTTTTTGTAGCTTTAATATTATTTATAAAGTTCCTTATATTCCTCCACCATAAAATTATCGTTTATTCTATCTATTCTTATTTTTCATTAATAAAATGTTATTCATGTTATTGATTTCATTTTCCTTCAGTATATTTGATGTTTTATCGACAAATTTTCTCACTTAAGTTTGATTAGAATCAAAATTATTTGTAACGTTTTTCTTTCGTTGTCCATGTCACTAAAATATGTAATGAAATTATATGAATAGCTATATTAGCTTTGGAATTTTCTCCGGAGATGGGCCGGTAGGGTTCAATTCGCCCGGGCCGATTCAAAGGCCCAGTCCGCCCCTGCCTCTGAAGCCCCATGAATCTCTTGCTGTTCATTATACAATTTTCGATTACAAATGAAGGAAACAATAAAAGGTACATATATATAATATCTTACAGTTCACAATAAAATCAATGATTTTTAGAAACATTGGATGTTTTCTTTTTGATGACATAAAACCACCTATTTTGTGACCCATACAATTCCCATACAAACATACAATTCTGTCTGAAGTAGGTCACATCATGAATGTAAAGGATATAGGTAATACTACCAGACTTTGAGAACTCTGGTTTTCAGCAAACAGATTTTTTTATTCACAATCTTCAATATTTTTCAATAGATGAATTCAATATCAATAACTTCCTTATCCTGGCTCCCACATTCAATGTAGCCAGCATCACTGGGCAATCTCTAGATGCATAGTTTCTGATCAGATGTAATAAACAATTTCGAACCCAAAGATGTAATAAACCACAGAGGTTGAAGTCAAACAAAATCTTCATACTTTCATTGGTTTTCAAGGACCTAGTCAACTGATTCTTGCAATAGGTAGCTGGTTTTCATTAGTAGTATCTTCTTCAGAGGTTGATTCAATCTTGATATTACATTCCTAGATTTGATAACAGATGTTATATGGAAGGTCTGTTTGTGGTAATGCAAATATTCAGAACATACCAAGGGCCTCGATGGGTGTCATTTAGGAAAATATACCTGTACCAAAGAAAGTCGATGACCATTCAGACTTTTTTTAAAGTGTCTTCCTTCATATTGAATTGAAGGAAAGGTCCTTACAAAGGAATACTATTTTAAACAATATTCCTATTTTTCGAATACAGTAGTGATGATTGAGAAGTGGTCACTGAAATTCAACAAATTACGATACCTACATAATTTTAACAGATTTATCAATTATTAACCTCTATGTTTCGTAATAATAAATGTAAACAAACTCGATCATGCTTGCTTGGCTTGAAAGGGCACACCAATGACGTAATTCACGCTGGCGCTGATTGGCTGGAAATTTATGAGGCAACCTGTCTATTTTAATGATCTTGAGCCATGGAAAGGGATTGAACGGGAGAATAGGGGTAACGGCAAACGCAAACAAAATGCGGTTGGTTCACTCTGTTCTCTGTTCATTGTTGACTGGTTGGTTGCCTAGTCACTAGGATCGTTCAGTAGCGTCATCTAGTATTGAATAGATTTGTTCAGTTCTCATTCTAGTACAGATGCCTTGTCAATAGTGTCATACTGTCAGTGCCAGATGCCATCATGTGTTTATTAAAGTTTGAAGGTCAAATAATGATGTCCTATGTCCTTGTCCTTTTATAATCCAAAACACGTCATTTATATTGCATTGAATTTATTTTATCATTTATGTATAGTATGTACTAAACTAATCGACTTTATCTGACTAGTGACTAGAGACAAGAGTTGTTCATACCAATCTAATCATACCACTCTGTGTATTCCACTATTTCCAGCTAGGTTGAAGAAATCAGAACTCTTCTATTTACAGTTACTCGTAGTTTGAAATTATGGTGAGTAGCACTTTGGTCACAACTTTGGTATAGGTACTTGCGACTTTTGAGTTCTATTTTTGAATTTGAATATCAATACCTGTTACAATTTCAAGTCACGACGTGGAGTGTGAACTGATGATTTGTTACATAACATAATTATCATTGTTTTGTTGGCCTCAACCAATAAGGGCAATAAGTAGTTATTTATGTATCGAGGACGAGGGCGTAAAATCGGCGTTTATGGACCACAACATGTGGTTAAAATAAAGCGTGCGAAGCGAGGTATCCTAGGTCCATAAACGCTAATTAGGTACGGTTACGCCCTAGATTCTTAACGATTTTATGGACAGCCGTTTATTTAGACATAATTTAACTGTATCTAGGTATATATGGGACTTCCTCAATGATTTTGAGTTTATGGAAATTATGGATGCCACTAGAAACAAAATATCAAATGCTAATCTATATTATGATTTATGATGGTAATCCACTATATAGAAACTTATTGAAAAAAAAAACAGTAGTACCTAGGTGTGTTCTATTTAAAAAAAACAACAGAGTTGCTGAGCATCTACCCGGTATATTATTTCTTTCAACTGTGGTTCTGGGATATATTCTCATTGATCAAATATTCTCGTCTTTGACCTTATTTTTTGGGTAAGGTCATGTTATTGTTCATTACTACAGTATAGATAATGTTATATGTATATATATATGATTTTATCATTGTTATTCACTCACATCGTCTGCTAAATATGGAGAAAAAATCAAGTGTTATTTATTACTGACTGTGACTAATCCCGATAACCCCTTACAGAACCTAGAATGAACAAATTTCATGCTCTCTTGAATATCCAATCTGTTTTACCTACCGGGGTTTCCCCCGAGGAATCATTCATGTGGAAAAGCATTGCCTCGACAGGTGTATGTCAAGGGCGTAAAATAGACTTATGGACCGTTCATAAAAGCAAGTTACGCCCAAAATACATACAACATTTTATGCACGACTGGTATGTTTGATTTTTCATTACTTCACCTCAAATGATGAAAATACATCATGGCTGTGTGAGGAATATCATTGATGAAATATACGTTGTTTTTGTATAAACTATAACTTATTGTCGGTTGGATTATATCATTTTGCATCTCAGAAATATCAAGACTCAAGAAAACTGTAATATTAACTGTAATAATACCTATTACGAGTTACCCATACGCCGGGTGGTATTGTAGTCCGCGGGCAGTAAAGTGCCTCATTACGCCCGCAAGACTAGGCGGTAAAGTCGTACTTTACGCCCGGTCGTTCATGAAATACTATAGCCACCCGCATGTCAGTCATACCCAGTTATTAGAAGTGAAACACCTTGGGAAATATACATATTACCTACTACAAAAAGGAAGCAAAAAGTGTCAATTTTTTTCACACATCATCATTCAAATATATCGATTTCATTTCAATAAGAGTCAAGTTCATTTCAAAATCATCATTTATTAAAAAAAGTTACAATCTTACGCAACTATACCTGATATCTGACTGATTTCAATAATATTTATTCAAGTACCAAGGGCGCGCGAGTTTATTATTATACAGGGTGTTGCGAAATTCGACCGACAACGTGTGATAGCCCTCGTGATTTCATCACTGAGATAGGGAAATACGATCTTCAAGTGTTCAGTTCTGGAGATACAGGGCGTAAAGTTAAGAAATATAAATATAGTTGTTTCGCAATTTCTCTAGAAAAATTGAATGTAATGCATTAAAAATCGGTATATTATTATGGTTTCATCTATCAATGGTTCATTTTTTGACCATAAAGACATTCCGAGAATTTTATCCAGAGGTGTGCTACAGGGGGTAGATAGTAGAAAACTGATGTCGATGCCTGAGGGTCGATTCTCATGCAAACCTCAATTGTGAATAGTGGTGCCCGCGAGAGTCTCGTTCTCGAGAGTCTCGCATGGTCTCGTCTCGTTTTCGAGACAAGACTCAGACGAGACTCGGACAATACGAGACGAGACTTTTATTGGTCTCGTCTCGAGTCTCGTGCAAGACTTCTCGTGTCTCGTGCGAGAGTCTCGCAGGTAAATATTTCTGCGTGCCGACTGCAGACTTGAGACTTTCATTCATAATACAACATATTTAGAAAGAATTCAGACTATTTAGCACAGGTAGACAAAACATTTCATCCATGAATACTATAAAAATACAATCCATGATTGTTGTGAAACGACTCAATGCGTGAAACGAAAACGGACTATTCTCTGTCTTACGCCGGCGGCGGAATATAAAGGCAATTCTGCAATAAGGACATATCGCAAATTGAATGACTACCTGAAAATCTATAAATAATTCATTCTGTACTAAATAGTGGAAGATAAAGAATAACTTTGTTTTGACGTGCCGCCGACGCCACGGATGCATAGCCTATCGCCTTTTAGTATGTACCTTATAGGTACCTATTTTTCAATAAATAATGTTATTTTTGTTGTAATTTTCTCTTCCTACTTCTACATTATACCTTAACAGTTGGTAAAGGTAAATATCCCGTACTAGCCTGGAACGAGATTATGGATGACGAAATTGCGATACATTCGCGAGACTCTCGTACGAGACGCGAGACAAGACGAGACTAGACGCTGCGAGACGAGACTTGAGACAAGACTTCATATTTCATCGGCGAGACGAGACGAGACTTTATGAAAGTCTCGTCTTGTTGGTCTCATGTGAATCACTAATTGTGAATACCGCATATCGATGTCTGTCTTCGTTTCGGAGTTACAAGGTGTTCTTTGAAAATGGGCATTTTTGAAAAGTGGCTACAATTTTTTTTTCTGACAGAAATTGTATGTTCTCTTGAAAATAACTGCAAAGCATTGAGTCTGTGATAAAAATCATTCCTATGGCGCTGAAATCGGCCTTCCTATATCTTGTTCACTTGTTCAAGAATATAACTTGTTCTTCTTGAAAGAAAAGTTCGATTTTGAAACTAGGTATATGGTGACTGATTTCAGTGCCTGAGGATCAATTTCAATGACAAACCCAATGTGTTGGAAATGTTTATATGAAAACAAAGAATTTTTGAGAAAAAAAAATTATATTTTTGAAAAACACCTTTGTAACTCTGAAACGAAGATAGATATCGATATGTAGTTTTCAACATTGGGTTTGTAATGTGAATTGATCAACTGGCACCGATATCAGTTGTTTTTTCTATCTAGTACGGGAATATGACTTTCCCTTTAACACATTGCGTGACAAGCCGTGATTAGGGATTGGCAATGATGGAAGTAAGATATGGTGCTCGTATTCGGCCATTTTTACGTATTGAAAATTTCAGAAAAATCACTCGACCGCCTACTATGATTTGTCTACGTCACAACGAGCGAGACGTTATTTCTACATTTCCCCGCTAGATGGTGACGAGGGTTAATAAAATGGCAAATGGCATTTTAGGTACTCGGAACATATTATGTAACAGTGGGATTATTCAACTCTGAATTCGAAAAATCTGCGACAATTTCAAAACTGACAGATGTCATAATTGTGCAATGTCGCCATCTATTAGCAGATCGACGGAACCATTGCTCTCGCTGCTCTCGAGAGGTCGAGTAAAATTTCTGAAATAAAAGCGCATCAGTAATTACACCATATCTTCCATTAATGGATTGACTATGGGGGCCAAACCACAGTTTTCTATTATTTGTGAGTATTTTATGTTAAAATGGAGGTTTGTTTGATACTTACGTGGTTTTTAGTAGTTTTTTTGGTCATATTTTTTTGGTTTTGTTGTGTCACTCATACATATATGAGAGACGTGGCCCCTCGCGGGCAAATTTATCGCTGGAGTCTACGTGATTCAAATATGAGCGACGGTTTCTTCAGTATTTTCTCTTTTGTTTCCTTGGTTCTCTATAAGCAGGCCACCAAAAAAATTCTCGATGTACGAGCATTTCAAGATATATCAGCTGCAGACCTACTTGATTTGAAGAATTTGGACAAACCACAATGGACCGAAACGGCAAAAGCATCTACTTCATCGTATCATCCATTAATTTGTTTGACATGTTCCAATGAGATATATTATAGTTTAATTTTTAGTTTGATTCTTCACCCCATTTTGTACGGAAATATAATAGTTTTGACTTTTTGTACTACAAAGTCTTTATGGTTTTCTCCAGGGGCCACTCTCTACATTCCCCATTTCTGCATTTCAAATGTACGGCAGCGTGATACATTTGAGAGACTCGACGTGGCGGTATTGGTGTGAACTTAATGAAATTAGTCCGTTTCTTATTTAAAACGAGACCACCGATATCAGTTTTTTTCTATCTATACCTTTTCAACTTCAATTTCGGAATTGGTAAATTATATTTCGGAAAAAGTAATCTCGATTTCAGAATTGGTTAGTTCCATTTCAGAAATGGTAAACTCAATTTCAGAATCGGTGAGATGAATTTCAGAAAGAGTCCATTCAATTTCAGAAATGGTAAGTTGTATTTCAGAATTGGTAGGTTGAATTTCAGAAAATGAATCCTTATATTTCTTTGCAATGTTTCCAATTGCATGTGAGATTAACAAACCATATTTACAATATTCAACTTCTCAAAATCAATTAAATAACATAATTATAATCTCAACTTAATCCACAGACATGTCTTCCATCCGATTCGCAGAAGGATAGTGGCGTTGCACATGATTATAAGAACGCCAACACATTTGAGGTGTTATGATTTTCATTGAATGATCTGCACATTCTTCAAGACATCGCAGTCTGAATTCTATCTGGCTGAGCAATCTGTTCGGATCCCCAGCTATGACCTTTGGCGATGCTCTTGCAAAAAGCTCTTCACTTCTGACTTGAAGGCACTCAATATATGTTCAATCGGGTTCAACAGGGCTGTAAGGTGCCAATCTGCAGAATATAACATCTTGAAATTCTACCTCCATGCATATATCTCTTCTATACCTTTTCAACTTCAATTTCGGAATCGGTGAGTTATATTTCGGAAAAAGTAATCTCGATTTCAGAATTGGTTAGTTCGATTTCAGAAATGGTAAACTCAATTTCAGAATCGGTGAGATGAATTTCAGAAAAAGTCCATTCAATTTCAGAAATGGTAAGTTGTATTTCAGAATTGGTAGGTTGAATTTCAGAAAATGAATCCCTATATTTCTTTGCAATGTTTCCAATTGCATGTGAGATTAACAAACCATATTTACAATATTCAACTTTTCAAAATCAATTAAATAACATAATTATAATCTCAACTTAATCCACAGACATGTCTTCCATCCGATTCGCAGAAGGATAGTGGCGTTGCACATGATTATAAGAATGCCAACACATTTGAGGTGTTATCATTTTCCTTGAATGATCTGCACATTCTTCAAGACATCGCAGTCTGAATTCTATCTGGTTGAGCAATCTGTTCGGATCCCCAGCTATGACCCTTTGGCGATGCTCTTGCAAAAAGCTCTTCACTTCTGACTTGAAGGCACTCAATATATGTTCAATCGAATTCAACATAGGGCTGTAAGGTGCCAATCTGCAAAATATAACGTCTTGAAATTCTACCTCCATGCATATCTCTTGTATTCTTGAATGTGCAGGTGCATTATCCAGAACACCGTTCCATCCACTGTAAACAATTTTCTCTTTTGCAATTGAAAACATTTCAAACATATATAAGGATTCATCTTCTGAAATTGAACCTACCAATTCTGAAATACAACTTACCATTTCTGAAATCGAACTAACCAATTCTGAGATCGAGATTACTTTTTCCGAAATATAACTCACCGATTCCGAAATTGAAGTTGAAAAGGTATAGTACGGGAATAGGACTTTCCCTTTAAAAGTGTGCAATTCGGCCCACCCTGTACAAAAATCCCCTGACTGCTTTCAGTCTGAGCCAATCCGGGTAGTAGTAACTGGGGCCGCTGGCCAAATAGCGTACTCCCTGCTGTACATGATCGCCAAAGGAGACGTCTTCGGCCCCAATCAGCCGCTCATCCTCCACCTGCTGGACATCCCTCTGATGATGGGGGTGTTGGAAGGGGTGGTCATGGAGCTGGCCGACTGCGCCATCCCCCTGTTGAGGGGTGTGGTGCCCACCGATGATCCCGCTGTGGCTTTCAAGGACGTGTCTGCCGCCTTTCTGGTGGGGTCTATGCCGAGGAAGCAGGGCATGGAGAGGAAGGATTTGCTGTCTGCCAACGTGAGGATTTTCAAGGTCCAAGGGGAAGCTCTGGATAAGCATGCCAAAAAAGTAAGTTGTGGGGTGTTGGCAACTATACTATTTACCCGAAAAATCCTATTCCTTCGTCTCTCCCTGCATTTTTTGTGCATTGTACAGGGTGGCCAACTAAGAATCCAGAGTTTGATACCTCTGTTGTCTTGAGAGATACAAAAAAAAGTTCTGCATTCAAATTGAAGTGATAACCGAGCTTCACATTTCAAAATTTCTTTGAAATACACAGGGTGTTCCGTAAGGTCACAGCACATCAAAGCTATGTTTTTTTCATTGGAACACCCTATGTTTTATTTCATTTTTGAATCCTCCCTGAAGAACTGATTTCAACGAGCCATCATACTTAGCACTGAAAGTTACTGACATATAGGTTGTGCAAAATCGAGATTTTCCAAGTTCAGGATTTTTTTCTGTCGAAACCGTTCATTATTCGTCGAAACGGTTTACATGTCCCTATCTCAACATTTCACTCACTATCAATTGGTATTCAATTGACATTCAATTGAAACAAATTATAAATTTAGATTTTTTGACCACCTTGTATCAATTTCAATTGAACACCAATTGATAGTGAGTGAAAAGTTGAGATAGGGACATGTAAACCGTTTTGACGAATAATAAACAGTTTCGACAGAAAAAAATCCTGAACTTGGAAAATCTCGATTTTGCACACCCTATATGTCAGTAACTTTCACTGCTAGACCCTAAGTATGATGGGTCGTTGAAATCAGATCTTCAGGGAGAATTCAAAAATGAAATGAAATATAGGGTGTTCCAATGAAAAAAACATAGCTTTGATGTGCTGTGACCTTACGGAACACCCTGTGTATTTCAAAGAAATTTTGAAAAGTGAAGCTCGGTTATTACTTCAATTTTGATTCATGAATTTTTTTTGTATCTCTCAAGACAACAGAGAAATCGAACTCTGGAGTCTTAGTTGGCCACCCTGTACAACAGCACAATGAGAAGGCATGCTTGAATTAATGAATAGCGCAAAAAACACGATTAGTATGCCAAAATATTGTGAAAAACTATTTCAATCCTTTGATTCCACTGTAACCAAAAACCAAATGAAAGAAGTGAGGTTGTGTCTCAATATATCACAGAAGAGTGAGGTTATGTTTCAATATTTTTCCTCCAGGGTCGGTCATCGTGCACGCTACCGATAAAACGGATTTCGTTGTGTCAGTCGTCATGTATCTTCGGAATTAGAAGAGGCTAATACGATTTACACTAACTTATTACTTCATCTTCTAAAATCTCAAGAATCTCAAAATTCGAAAATTCCCTAATATTTTCAATAAATGTACCTAAAATTTGTCAATTGTCATGTCAGTCTCCTCCGAACCGCTGGATTCTCGCAAAGCTATTTGAAAGTGCGCATTTTATTGACAACATTTTGATGGAGTTCCATCCACATTCCATTGGAATTTCGCAACAATTCGATGGATTCTTCGATTCATGCACATGACAAAATGTTGGAATAAAAAACGCACCCATTGGCTGTTTTTACGTTTTTGTATTCGCGAAAATCACGAACCAATAGATGGCTCTATTAAACGTCAAATCAACGTCAAATTTCAAACTGAGTATGATCAACAAAAACATTGCCGTATGCACTCATTGCAAATTGGTTATTTCGAAATCATTTTGCAAAATAGTGAATAATGAGTCGACTTCGTGAAATACGTACAAGGTTTTCAGTATGGAAAAATTTACTTTTTGTGCAGAGAAATTGCCATTTTGATGTGGACAATGGTGGTATTCATCATTGATATCACACTACGATTCCACAGTTTTCAAACATATGGAATGGTGAGAATGGTCCACTCAACACATGCATGGACTGGAATGGAGCCATATAAGCAATCAGCTATTACAACAATATGGTATAGGTATGAAGAAATAATTGAATTCATCAAGAAATATCACTGGTTTTTATGAAGGAGATGGAATTCTAGTGAAGGGGCTGGGAAAAGAAGATATGGTTGGAGAGGCTGCTCAGAATGAACAATATCATCGATTTACATAAAAAAAGGATCTCCAGCAATTGAAGACTTGAAGTTATTCTCAAGATCGAATCATTGCAACCAACATTCATACAAGGATTCTAACTGTGCTTCAGAAAATGTGTATTATATTATTATAAGGTAGGTGCTGGCTTCTTCATTGTAAACAATAAAAGTTCATGCAATAATTCGAGTTTTTTTATCAGGGAAAAATGAGGTTCTGGAATATGCACTTCAACAAATAAATTATTTTCAAATAAAACACAGAAACTCAAAACAATGGTCGCCATATTTGTTGTTCATACTCGCAAGGCTTGTAAAGTTAGCCACCAGAGGGCGCACACTTCGTGATTTTCGCGAATATTGAGAGTACCGACACTCGACAAGCAGTGACATGCAGACATGACCAAAAACGATTTTGAAGTAATAATCATATGTTTTGTCAGACAAGGACAAGAATATGTTTTTCACAGATAAATGCTACTTGCAGCATCTTCCTTATTCCTCTACATGTTCGGGAAAGAGTAAGTCCATACATCTTTCTTTGTCTTTCATTATCGAATGAGAGTGCATAGCGTCTCCTTAAGTGGGAAAAAGGGCACGATAAATTGATTAGAAAATTATTTCTTCTTGAAAAATGAAATGATATTGCTATGAAATGATAATGAACTGAGGGGAAAGTATCTGTACTTACGTTCATAGTGGTTCAGTTGAATAGTTGTAGCAACATGGTCAGAATGGGGTGAAAATCGATTAATTACAACTAATAAAACATACATTTACTTGAAAATCCACTGTAAGTTGTTCCGCACTTCTCAACTGCGCACAAGTTCAGAGTCAGACTTGGGATTTCAACTTTGAAGGGACCGATACACAAACAATACATTACTTAAAAAGGTACAAGAGTTCTACAAAATGACTATGTTCCACAAAATTTCCGGTATTTTAACAGTTGGAAAAAGCTTACGGCTCCAAAGTTTTGTATTAGCGAAATTATTTGGCAACATGCTGTCATAACAATCGCTGAATGTTTCCGGCAAAATAGTATCACTTGAAAAAAAAAAAAAGGAAATTGTTTGAACTCTTGACAACAGAAGGAAATCATGTGAACCATTTAGGTTCAGAAGGGCATATACATCAAACAGCTAGTTGATAATCAAGAGCAAAACTTTCCTACAAAAAAACAATACTACTCACATATGGCCCAGTATATTGTTCAAATTTTTCAACCCACATTCTTTTTTTTAGTGAATTTTTACATGGGTACTCCACATTTGACCAAAAAGTTGTTTATTGTATAGATTATATGGAAATGGCTTTTGAACAATAATATAATGTATTGTTTACATTTCATCATATTCAACAACACTAACAACTTTTGTTAACAATTTATGCAAAAAATCCAATGTTTTCTTAATGTACCCGAGGGTAATTACAGTATTTAAAAAATCCTCTCAAGTGGTTAACTTTGTACCTTTTTGTCCAAACAGTGAATCAGTTGATAAATTTACCAAGAATGATATAGATTAATATAGATGATCAACATCGGTAATATATGCTAGTGCTAGTAGTGACTTTTTACTGTATAATATCAACAAATATAGAAAATGAATTACTTAAAAAACTATCATGAGATATCCCAAGTCGGTTTCTATGTTTCCATATGGTTCCATGATGGGATACAGATTTTTTTCATCCCTTTTCTTTGTTCATACAGGATGTCAGAGTTTTGGTTGTTGGCAACCCAGCAAACACAAATGCATTGATTTGCTCAAAGTATGCCCCTTCGATTCCTAGTGAAAACTTCACCGCCATGACTAGACTAGACCAGAACCGAGCACAAGCTCAAATTGCAGCCAGACTTGGTTTGCCTGTTGGAAATGTGAGTAAAATATTGAATTCAATGAGTCAATCATACTCGTTTATCTGGAACATCTAACCTCTACAAAGTTATTTTGCAAAGTGAATAAATTTATATGTGTGAATTTTTATTTGTATTCTTGTTTCCCTCTAATTCACAATGTGTAAGGATGAAAGGATCAGGAAATACAAAATTAAACAAAATCATTCCACAATTTGCCACAACTAAATGTTGTGGGATATGATTTTGTGTTTCCTAATCCTTTCAACTTTAATTTTTAGGTTAGCAATGTCATCATCTGGGGCAATCACTCTTCAACTCAGTATCCTGATGCATCCCATGCTGTTGTACAAACTGATGGTAAACAACTGAAGGCTTCTGATGCCATCAAAGATGACAATTGGCTCAGATCCGTGTTCGTGGAAACAGTTCAGAAAAGAGGTAAGTTGTTGATGGAAATCATACAAAATTTTCGATTTTTGCTTTTCAATTCCAATATTCTCCATTGTTGTTTCAATTAACCCACAAATTGGTTGGTGAAGAAATTCTCTCATTTCTTCCCCATTATCCTGACATTTTACACACTGGTTTACAACTTCATTGACATTTGGGTGTGAAGCTTAGTTTTTTGCTGGGCGATTTTAGCTTTGGTGGCGTTATCATTGGTCAATTTGAATTGGTAAGCTACTATTGACCAATAAGTATTATTATATCTTTCATCAATAGCATCTCCAAAGCCAAAATCGTCCAACAATAAACTAAACTTGAAGCTTTCACAACTCCCTTGATTTCTTGACTGTGGTATTAAATGGTAAATATTATAATGAGCTACGTGACGAAATCAGGAACATAAAAAGGATTCCCTTTTGTGCGGACAAAACAAAAAAGTGACATATTATCCCCTAAGATGGCGGATTATCTTTTGCTTCTCAATCCTGTTGGCATCGGCATGGTATATCAAATTATAAGGTTTGAGGAGTAGGAGATGGAAAACTACATGACAGCATTCTGAACCAAATATACTACGGGGTGGATCGTTACCACCGATACAACAAGGCCTGCATGCTCCGTGGGTGACGTCACTTAGTGAGGCTTAACCAGCGGCTCGAAACGACAAGCGCTTATAGCGTTATAAGGCGACCGCGTATTTCGATTTTAGTTTTAGATCATCATTGAGCCGATTTTGCTGTTTTTTGAAGGGCTTCCGGTTAAAAAAGGATGCCAGTCGTCAACTGATCCCTTCTTCGCACCCCATTCGATTTTATTATGGAAAAACGAAGTTTTAAAGCAAAAACCAGGATAAAACACAAATATCCACCTACAGCAACCCATTCGAATTAAATATATTGGCAAAAATTGTGGTGAAGGTAAACTTCACACCTACTTATACAGGGCCCGCAGAACATAAACTTATCGTGAGATTGATCGAAAGAAAATTGTGGAAAATGTATTTTATTTTGATTGACATGCCGTTTGTTACAATTACCTATATTTATCTTGGAGAATTCCTATTACGTTACGTTACACTTGAAACCGTAATTTTTAAGGGTAAAACTGCATTTATCATGCGATGTTTTTTTTTTGAAAATTTTTTTCGGTACTCACGTATTTTTGTCTGATAAACCGAATTTTATAATGAAAATGTGAACAAACCACTATTTATTGAGATATTTCAAGAAAAAGTTCGAAATTTCGCCTTCTTTCTCCCCTTGTGTTGGGGGCATTTGAAGCTACTTGCTCTTATTTTGTCATTGGACACTTTATATACTCATGATGTACTCCGATGGCACATTTTTATATAGAAAATTCAACATTATAGGGATTCCCTTTCGTGCGCTCCAAGCGATAAAAAAAAAGGAAATATGATTTTTATGGCAAGTTTTTCATATTTAGTGAACAAGCATTCCAGATGACGACCATTTAATCAATAGTCAATCAAAATACGAGATGTCAAATGTCAATAGATTGCTTTCGAATGACATTACCCACGCCATTATTTTGAATGATATTCTTCCTTCTTTTCACTAAATATGGATTAATCTCAAGAAAATCATATTTATAGTTGAATTATATATAAATTGTCCAATATGATGAAAAAAGAAGGGAAAATTGTTCTAAATGCCATCCAGAAGACAGGTGAAAAAGAAGGTGAAATTTGGAACTTTTTAGTCAAATATCTTCATGATAAATATCATGATAAATGCAGTTTTACCTTTTTCAGTAGAGTGTTTGTAGTTCATGTTAATATGATAGTTGCAATTTGATCATTGGAATGAATTCTGCATTCATTGCCACGAGGCAAATGACCGTTTTCAGAAAGAAATTTGAGAATGAGAATTAAAAATGCCCGTTCATTATGAACATTCAAGAAAATTTCCTCGAATTCAGAGATGATTTTGTTGACTATAATATACGAATACAAAACTAACTGCACTATCAAAGCTTTTCTATTTTTCCTCTACTCATACTTTTTATGAGAGAGTAATTGTCTTCTATTATTAATTCATCATTATAAATTAATCTCTGTTTACTACTGAACTTAGATGGAGTAAAATCCTCGCGGTGAATTGCATATACCCACATTTTCGATAGCTCCTCGTCCAACGGGAAACTAAAAGCATGAACTTTTGAACCACCCACATAATTCCCCCCGACAAAAGGGAACACAACACTTGAAAGGCATTGTTATTTCGCCGATCACAACACAAAATATTTCACAAAACAGTAATTTTTCCGCCAATTATTTTGATGAATAAACAACAAAAGAATTCGGGACCGTTTCAAAAACATACGTGAATCACCGATGAATTAACACGAACTGACGCGTTAGTCGACAAGCGATAAAATAAAACACTGGCCTCTCTTGGTGACGTCACGAGCTGTTTACGTCAGAGTCTGCTGGCCTTAAAAAGGACCAATAACATTCTTTATTCTTATAACCACTGAAAAAAATCGACTGTTTGATTCAATGATCATGATTTCAAAAGGAAAGTTCATTTGAAGAAATGTTTTTCAATGTAATCATTTGTTTTCAGGGGCCACTGTGATTGCTGCTCGACAAATGTCGTCTGCTATGTCTGCTGCTAAAGCGGCAGCCGACCATATGCGAGATTGGTTCAATGGTACTGCACCTGGACAGTTTGTGTCCATGGGTGTGGTAAGCGATGGCAGCTATGGAACACCCAAAGATGTTGTCTTCTCCTTCCCAGTAAGTAGTGGAATAATATTGCTGATGATAATAATAGTAATGTTCCAAAAGGGAAAGCGAAAATGTAGCATGTGAATATATGTCATTTCAAATAGTGTGAAAAGTTACCACCAACAAATAGGTTTGAGTTCATTATGAGACCTTGAAAAGTGAAAAAAAAAATCAATAATTATAGGTTATTTTCCAAAAAGTTTGATTTGGAATAGTTATTCTGAAAATCTTGTTGGCTATTTATGATAATTAAATTTAACTTCAGTATCTTAAGTACATAGAGGGTGTTCTGAAATTGGCTGCTTTACGACGGAAAATAATGAAGAATTTCATTTGTAGGTATGAAAAAAGTCACAAAATGGTCTCTAATGGTGATATGGCTCAATGAGAAGGAGATCCTGGATTTGGTCTACTTGGTTTTTTCCGTTTTTTGATGAAATATTGAATTTCAACATATCGAATATTGAATATTTTAAAAAGAGCAGATGCTCTTGGTTTAACGCCATTCTCCATTAAATTCAATTGAATAAATAAATACACACACACACACACACACACCATTTAATCTGAAATATTCTGGAATTGAATATTCTTTTTTTTTCCATTCAGTTTCAATCTCTGGTTAAGTTAGCTTGATATTCTTATTATTTCGTTAAACAATGGAAAATTAGTGCAGCTGTTTTACTGGAAAAGGTTCAAAATTCCATTTTTTCTTCCATCAAATCAATAAATTAGCCATCATTAATCCTGAAACCTTTCGGAAATATTTAGGAAAGAACATCTTCGAATCCCCTTTTCAAAAAGGCTTGTATGGTTGATTCATAAACTAAACTGAACTAAGAATCAACAATTGAATTAGGAATCCAAAATCCAAGAAGCTTATTTGTTGAATAATTCAAATAGACCCTTCATCTTCCAAAGATTTTCAATTTGATTGTCAGTTCTTAGTTGAGTTGAGTTTTTGAATCCACCAACACCTCCATTGGGAGCCATTTCACAATCTAGTATGTCTGAGAACTATTTATATTTTATATAAAAAAAAAAATGGTCCTAGAAGCTGGTTGCTGGTAGAATGTTCTCCAATTTTTTTCTGTAACAGAGTAACATTTTATATTTCAATCTTTCTGAATTTTTCATTTTTCAATATGCTATGCTTCATCTGTTTTTATCATTTTTAATAAAATGTCTGCATTATATAAAAAAGCATTTGAAGGTATGTTCAAAATTCAAAATATGAAAATTACATAGGTACAATATCATAAATAAAAGATTGAAATCCAATTTAATTTTAACAGGAAACAATGAAATTCATGATTATCAAACTAGACAACATGGTTTATATTTCATCTTGATATAGCTAATTCTTCTATAGGCTAAACAAGATTCACCTACGCTGCTCTTTTCAAATATAACAAATTACCAGATAATATAAGAAATCTATCATTTCCGAACGAAATAGAAAGAGTTCCTAAATGTACTTGACACACTAGACAAGCAGTGACAATCAAACATAACCACACACGATTTTGAAGCAAATCATATGTTTTGCCAGACAAGGACAAGAATATTTTTTTCGCTTAGATAAAGAATCCTCGCATCTTCTTTCCTCCACAAGTCCTGGGAAGAGTCCATCCATATATCTTTCTCTGTCTTTGATTTTGATATGAGAGTGCATAGCGTCTCCTCGAGTGGGTAACAGGGTACGGCAAATTGATTAGAAAATTATTTCTGCTCGAAATATTGAATGATAAGGCTCAAGGACCTCAATGGAGGTCGATATAAAGTTGGTATGTACATATATACCAACGAGATACATTTACTATTTCCATGTAATAAGTCTCTCATATGTAGGTATAAATAAACGTTCAGTTGAATATTTTTTTATCACAAAAGTTCAGAATGGGGTAAAAACTGATAAATTTCAACCAATGAAACATACTTTTATTTCGTATGGAACAATTTCACTTGTACAAGAGTGGTAGGTAATAAGTAATTAATAAATGAACAAATGATATGGCAACAATAACAGCTGATTTCAGTAAGAATAAATAAGAAAGGTTCTCCAAGACATTCGGAAGTAGGTATAAATGGACTTCAGCGCTCGACTCACTATAGATCGCCGTTCACATTGCTAAAAGGGGATTGTTGGTTTGCACCCGGCCATCGGAAGAACATTTTCAATACCTAACATAGATGGCGCACTCGTTGAGCGTTTTTGTATTGTGTTCTGATAATATCTTGCTCGTATCTTGAAACCCAAGAAGTGGTTCAAAATCCACTAGGAGCTATGTAGTCATCTAGCACTTGTCAACTACGCATGAACATGCACATTCAGACTTGTGATTTCAACTTTGAAGAAGCGATACACGAACAATATATTCAACTCTTTGATATAGATACATCAATGTCTGATACATCAGAGTTCCTCAAAGTGACTATATGTTTTCACAAAATTATTATAAGAGTTCGTATACGAAGATGATCTAAAGAATTCTTGGCTGAACAGGGATGTGAAATCTGTTTTAGTCAGTCAATTCAGGAAGTTGCTGCTGTTTTATCATCAGATGATTAATGGGGAAGACCACTGATTTTTTGAAACGACATTATCGTGAACTTTATACTGAAAAACTACCAGTGAAATAATTTTGAATTTTTTCATTCATGCTAAGACGATGAAAAAAATAAATTAGTAATGTCCATTTCAAAACACACAATTCCTGCGCCATTTGATATTTCATCAATTCATTGGTGTGACTGGTGCGACGTCTTAGTCCCAACACGCCTATTGTCCTTGAACTGACCAGTTACACTGCAACACTGCAGAATGACGAGGTATCAGAGAGAGATAGCTACAGTTCGGGACTAATACGTCACGACTCCACAATCATATTTGTCTGTTTGAAATATCGAATGAAATATGCTGATTTCAAAACGATATAGATTCGATTCCCTTCAACTTTAACTCATAATATCGATTGTACATAAAATGTAAATCATGATTCGTCGATTGAAAGAGGTTTGCACGGATTTCTTCCCTCAGTGGTCTTCCCCATTGAGGGTACGGCTCTTCCTCTGAATACGATCCTATTCTTCAACATCAAATCTTCCGTTCTCAAGTGTACCTGATGAAAATGCGTTGGAAGATGTTCTATATCCTAAAAACAAATTTGTATACCTCGCAAATTTTGTGGCCTGAACGTATTTTCCATGCCGGCCGCATCATACTCTGTTTCCATCTTCGTAGAATTACGTTATCCGATGGAAATTCGAATAGAGTGAACTGATTTCCCGTGTTCTCACAGTTGGAAACTGCACAAACTTGCATATTTCTCCTAATTCTCTCAATTTGTCAAACCTTTGAAGTGTATGTCATGTACGTCCGTGTACTGTCAGTTCCCGCTTTTTCCATCAATTTATTTGTGGTTATGTCTGATTGTCAGTGCTCGTCATAGTGTCCGTACTCGAATAATATACAAAAAACGTCAAAACAGCAGTGTCAAGTACATTTAGGAACTCTAGTTTTAGGTATTATTGTTAAATATACTTCCTTATACCAGAACTTGCTTCTGACTTGAAGTTACATTTTCAATACAATAAATAAATGAAATAAAATAAAATAATTGAATTTCCATATTTTTCTTAGGTTTCCATCAAGAACGGCAAATGGGAGATCGTCCAAGGTCTAACCATAGATGACTTCTCCAGGAAAATGCTGGACGCGACCGGCAAAGAACTGGAAGAAGAAAAAACCGACGCGGTCGGCATTATCGGCGCTTGACGGGCGAGCAAGCTTTAAACGGCCAGACTGGAAGAGAGCAATAGGTTTTCGATAGGTTCAGTATCACATGTCCTTTGTAAATTGTTTTGTACAGTAGGTATTCCGTTTCGTGTTATCTGCCCGACGGTGTTTGTGAAGCTTATGGGCTGGTTGGGTTTGGTTCTAGCAGGTTAATGTCCGGACGAAAGAAAACTTGCCACATTTCATGACCAACTTCATGAGATATAATTTGAAGAAATTATACTTTTGGCTTTGATTTCTTACACTAACAAGATGATCCTCCAATTTCCATGTAGAATGTTCAAGCCAATTTTGGCGCTAGCAAAACTCAGCAAAGTATGGCTGATTTGTCTATACTGTCGGACAGTGTTGCTAGCAAATCTAGTTTTGAGCATTGGCGGCTCGTGACTTTCATGACAGAGGAGGCTGAATGATATGAGATTTATTGTGAAAAACAACTCTCTACCACTCATCCAAATCAATAGCTTTAATGACATTCTGTTTACCAGTTAACCTGAACCTAATACTTGAAGAGATGTGTTCCTGTGATTTGCAGTGTCTATCCAATCCGCGAGGCGAATTTTTCAAATCATTATATCCTAATCGCCCCCAACATGATGACTTATTCGTTGAAAATAATACTCAGTACGAACAAAATAGCTTATTCCTTACCTCAGATCCCGTCAGCCAGATATATTTTTTATAATTATCAGAATTGAACGAACGATTTTGTTTGTTACCTGTTACAATCAGATTTTTTAATTCCGATGTCGGACGTTTGTTTTTCACAATCAATTTATCTTCATAAGACAAAGCACTGAATGGGTTCACCAAAAAGTATTCCACTAAATCGCAATCGTTTCAAACACTCATTGTTCAGAAATTTATAGAGCTACTAAGCATTAACCTAACATAAACAATGCACTCGCGATTGTCCGCAACTCGCGACGAGACACGACCACGACAAACACGTGTTATTCGGGCATTTGCATTGCGCTCGTGGGTTGCGATTTGTGAAGGAGTCTAGCCTCCTATTGATGTTGCCAAGTTGAATATTTTCAGGGCAGACGAAGTTTGGCTTCTTGTTATGCCCAGTGCAGGCTCCGGTCCCCAGAACGGTGTCGCGGATCCGATTCTAGCCAGGTATATAATGTAAATTACTGGAAAACTTATAGCTTCCTGGTATTCCTAGGGCTCTAGCTAATCTTGGAATGTCATTTTTCGCAAATCGAAATAGATTTTTACATTCTGTTTCAAATAAATTGTTTAAATTGATATCTCTATATAATTCCCTTCGATTACCTAAATTGTCGTTCCCATTCAGTAGGTACATGAAGGATGAACATATTATCTAGGTTATCGTCACTCGTCACTACTAGCATCGCTATCATTTGTAGCTTCGAATATCAAAATCTCTTCCATTATGCAACAGGGTTTGCAGCAACAACACTGGAACGATATCCAAGCAAGCGAATACTAAGAAATCAAAACATTTGAATGGAAAAATAGGGTTAAAATGAGTCTGGTCTTGTATCTTGTATATACGTACGTACCATACGGTAGCTTCAACGCTACTTTTCATTGAATACGTACGTATTTCTATTCACGTTTACGTCCATATGTAATTGCAAGTTTTTGTATTGGCTTTAACTCCCTAATATCGGCAAGGTCGAAACGTAATAGCTTGATATATCACTAAGCATTCAGGGGATATGTGTAGGTTCATTATGCGATAGACAGAGCCAACTTACAGACAAAAATGTAATGATAATCAGCCTGGGTTCCACTTGCCCCAAATCTACACTTACCACTGTGTACCTTACCAAAATTGAATATGACACACTACAGTCAATGGAAACATTGTTTCTATCTACTCACTGAATCTAAAGTAGGCGTTGTTTCCTCATTCAAGGTAACAAAATGTTCAATTAACTCTCACGGGAGAAATAAAACAGGGAGTTAAAGTGCTGCCATGAACGTTGACGTAAACGTAGAAATTGACAGCTACGCATGCGCCTTCCTCAATTCTTCACCTCTGCCTTTGTATAGTAGTTTCACGTATACCTAAAATATAAACGTACGTTAACCGATCGAACTAACACCAAAATATGCCGATGAGTCAAAATTATCGAACTCTATTTGAGGACAATTCGTAATAATTGGAGAGTTGAAGTGCTGCCATGAACGTTAACGTAAACGTAGAAATTGACAGCTACGCATGCGCATTTCCCGTTTTCCCACGTTTGCATTGGTAGTGGGCTTACGGGTGTACGTTATTCTGTGTACGTTATTCTGTGTACGTTCACGTACACCTTAAATATCAACGTATGTTAACCGAATTATGCCATTGAGTCAAGGTTGTTGGAAGTTAGGATCTCCAAAGGGTTCTGCATTAGGGATTCCGTTCATTTAAGCACGAATGACTGTCCAGATCGAAACAAACGACCAACTGATGACTTCAACTCAATTTAAGGACGATTCGTAATCGTTATTTTTCGTACGTTAACGTCTACGTGGAGGTCTACGTACAAAACAGAACGAATTATGGATTTGAGTTATGGAACAGGAATTCTGACTCTTCGATTCGCGTTCAAGGCACTATACAAACCGTTTGAGATAGTGTCATACGAAAACGTACCAAAAATGAAAGAAGGGTACTTACGCATCTACATTTTAGTTGCCTAACGTACCGACTTCGGTACGAACTACGAACATACCGATTCTGGCAACACTGCTCTCGGAATCTACTCGAGTACATCTTTCTGCAGGTTGCTGAACTATCTAGGAATATCCTACTTTTTGAAGCTGGGAAATTGTTAACTTTGATATTCTGAAGGCTTCTAAATACATATATTTTAATCCGATCATGTGGCAACACTCCTTCTTGCATAACCCTTTGAGTCCGGAATCAGTGTTTTTTGAGATTTTATTTTCTGAAAATATATTATGTGACCAGAAACATCATGAAAACAATGAGGAATATAAGAAAAAATCTGAATCGTCCATTTTTTTTTTCAAAAAAAGTGGTTGCTCCAAGTGACCAGGTGGTTGCCGCAAGTGACCAGTATGACTATGTATACTCATCAGATGCCAAAAGCTACTAACGCCATCGTTAGTAAGTTGAAACAATGCCGCAGTTATCAATTCAGTTCATAGGTGGCTGTATTGGTATCGTGTATAAACGGTGGTTATGCTGCAGAACCACTAGTAGAGCGCCGATGAATTATTTGTTATGTGGTTATCTGGCATGACCAGTCGGACGCAAAGGGATAAACACATCTGAAAATAAACTTCGAATATTTTCTACATTACAGATCTCTACCCTTCGCTACTCAACAAAAAGTAGTTCATCTTGTCGTTCATAGATGCCGCCAGCTTAATAGAATGCCTGGCTTCATTGCTTTTATAAGGAGGGCTCATCTTGTCAGTGTAAATAATCAACGGTGTATTGTAATATTATTCTCGCTGGAAAATTTCCTGCGATATTTAACCATGGAAATATTGCTGACTCGCAAGTGGACAAGTCAAATTGCCGGTTTTCTTTACTGAATGATTTCCAAATTTTCTCAGCCTGTGGATGGATATTGAACGATCTATACATTTCAGCTTATTAATACTCCTGTATTATATTCTCTGTAGATATTTATTTTGTATATTTGGAATATAAAAACATTGCGGAGCTGAACTTCGGCTTTATCTAGTCATCCAGTTGCACCAGGAAAACATTTATTGTATATGTATATTTGGTATGTGGAAGTGAATTTATTGAAGACATTTTTTTGAAGATTTCAAGTGATCATTGTTTTTATACAGTCAAATTGGGGTGTACAAAAAAAGAACATGAAAACATCGGTGTGGGTTACTTTATTTTTACTAACTGTGATTTTTCTCACTAACCCTAAACTAACGAACCCATGTTCACTTGAACAATTCAGAACAGTTTTTATCGAACGACAGTTTTTCGTCCAATAGTTCTGGAAAATTCAAAATTAGCTATTGCCCTGCATTCAGTTTGTCTCTTTAAAGCTTCGTGATTCTTCTTCTTAGTTTTTAGTGAAAACAGACAGTATGATATATCAATTCGCGAAAATCATGGACTCGTATGTGTAATCATAATATATTTATGCACGACCGGCCTCAAAGTAACACTTTAGCGCCCCTGGCGATAAACTAATTTCACTGTTTTCCCAGAAATTTCTAGTAGACTACCGCCAACATACATAATTCGGCAAAATGAATTCAAAATTATTAGTGAATTGCTTATTCACAGTTAATGAGGATCGTGCATAAAATGTTGTATGTATTTCGGGCGTAACTTGCTGTTATGGACCTAGGCGTGTTAATAGCCCTCGATATCACGCCCTTGGTATACAGGGTGATCCACGGTGGATGGCCTATTAGAAGTTTCTGGAGAATGGAAAGACAGGACATTCTGAAAATTGGGATGCTTTGATAATTGAACATTCTCTATCCGTCTAAAATACTTTCATCGATACAGTGTTGCCACTTCTATCAGAAACAATTAGCAACTTCGTTATTTTAAATGGAGCACCCTGTATTTCATCATCAATGCATCACACTTGGGGTCTAGCTGGAATGATTATAGAGATATAGGGTGTTCAAAATCGAGATTTTTCAATTTCGGAATTCATTGACATTTAATCGGAACAGATACAGGGTAATTATTTTTTCCAATTAAATTCCAGTAGATAGTAAATCAAAAGTTAAGATAGGGACATGTAAGCCGTTTTGATCGATAATTAATAGTTTCGACACAAAAAAATCCTGAAATTGAAAAATCTCGATTTTGAACACCCTATTTCTCTGTAATCATTCCTGCTAGACCCCAAGTGTGATACATTGATGAAATCAGCTCTTCAGGAAGAATCTAAAAATGCAATAAAATACAGGGTATTCCATTTGAAATAACAAAGTTGCTAGTTGTTTCTGACAAAAGTGGCAACACTGTATCAATAAAAATATTTTAGACGGATAGAGAATGTTCAATAATCAGAATGTTCTGTCTTTTCGTTCTCCGGATACTTTTAATATGCCATCCACCGTGGATCACCCTGTATTAATAACTATTATGGTCAGTTTCAACCAATAATTATCTTGATGCTTAAGAAGTACGAAAAAATCGCGTTGGCTTCAAGTAAGCCATTGTTTTTCTATCAGATAATGATTCTATCTATCGATCCCGAGAACGCAACCATTGCGAATTTCGTAAATGATGATTGTATTATTTGTATCCTCATTGTTAGTATTATGCCTCAGAGATAATGTATTTTTATTATAAGTTAGTGTTGGGTGAAGGTTGGGTCAGTTTGTTAATCTGTGGTGGGGTCTTTTTTAACCTAGGACAAAATTTCAACGTTTGAGGCAGTTATGGTTTTGGTTTTCATAACAAAAATTGTCATTTTTGTGAACCATTTCCACGAAGTTATTTATTGTCGAAAGTGTTAATAATTTCAACTACGAAATAGCCATAATTCTCAAAGTGGAATGAAATGGTAAATAAATACAAAATGCTCGAAGTCATTTCCACACAATGTTCATAAAATGAACAACAATGGTAGATTTAGGGAGAAAACCAACTACTTTCCTGGCTAAAGCCAAGCTGAAAATTGAATTACATCCTCCCGAAATCTATGCATCAACTCGTATGAACGAATACTTATACAAGTGATTCTTTCCTGAATGCCTAAAGATTTCGATTTAGCAAGGCCACGCTAGACACCTATTGGATTAGATTAGATTTGGAATGGGGCCTTCGGGCTATCTGCCTCCACACTGCGACCTTTTCAGATCTATTGTGTCTGCCCTCAAAATCGATTAGAGTTCTTCGGCAAGCCCCGCCTTCTCTATGAGACTCCATAGGCTAGCTTTCAGATTTGTTTTGTTCTAAAATTTGTTCTATCCGTCATTCGGTTGCCCCCTTACGAGCAACCCTCAAAAGTCTTCGAAAGTCTTGTGCGAGCAAGGAATGACGGGGGCCTTACCTTTTAACGTGTGATCCCAAACACTTTCTTGGGCCATCAGAAAAATTTCTGCAGTCGACGGGGATCGAACCCACGACCGGCGAGCGAATGCGAATTAGAATATAGACACTCTGTCCGCACGGCTACCTGGCCACCCATCTCCTGTGTATCTCTGGGCTTCTGGTTTTTCCTCACCCAGCGTAAGGAACCTTAGTCTTGACAAGCCCTCACAGTGGCAAAGTATGTGTACTGCTGTTTCTTCCTCTTCTTGACAGAACCTGCACAGCAGTTCTTCAGTCAGACCTATCGTACTCATGTGTTTGTTGAGTCTGCAATGGCCTGTGAGAAGTCCCACTAGTATTCTAGTTGAACTTCGTTTCTGGCTTAGTAGATATTCTGTGAATGTTGACCTGTCTCATTCCTGGCGAGTTGTTCCACCATTCTTGAGATTTGGTTTGCATCCATGATTTGATACTAGTCTTTTGTATAGCTTTCGCAATACCACAGAAGGGTTCTGGGCCATTAAGAGCTTTGTTTGCTCCTGCTCGGGCAAGTGATTCTGCCTCTTCATTGCCCTCGTACCCTCGTATGTGATGGTACCCATGCTAGAGTCAATCTGTTCTGACTGCCCAGTGCATTTAGGGTTTCTAAGCAGTCCCATACTAGTTTTGAGTTAACTTGCATAGAGACTGCTTTGATTGCCGCCTGGCTATCTGAATAGATTGCAATGGTTTCGCCTTTGAACTCTTGCCTTATCAATTCTTTCACGCAATGATGTATTGCAATAATTTCTGCCTGAAACACCGTCACGTATTTGCCTAAGCTCAGTGAGATTCTTGTCTTTGGCTTGGCCCCATAAATACCAGCTCCTGATCCTTCCTCAGTTTTGGAGCCGTCCGTATAGACAGCGATGTCTGCATTGATAGGAGGTCCTTCCTTCCATGCCTCTCTGTCCGTTATACTTATTTCAAAATTTTTTTCAAAGCTTTATTTTGGAATTATGCCATCCGTTGGCATCCCCATGATGTAAACAAAGAAAGTCATAGAAAAAATCAAGTTCACCAGATAGAGCAAGGACAAACGAACAAGCCTTATGTCAGGGTCTGGAATTTGGCTATATACATTCTGTATTCCAGAAAGTTGACTCCTGATAGCCCTCACAGTGGCATGTGTATGTGTACTGCTGTTTCCTCTTCTTCCTGACAGAACCTGCACAGCAGTTCTTCAGTCAGACCTATCGTACTCATGTGTTTGTTGAGCCTACAATGCCCACTAGTATTCTAGTTGAACTTCGTTAGTGGCTCAGTAGATATTCTGTGAATGTTGACGATGGTTTTTTAATAAATTCTTTTGCCTGTCTCATTCCTGGCGAGTTGTTCCACCATTCTTGAGATTTGGTTTGCATCCATGATTTGATACTAGTCTTTCGTATAGCTTTCGCAATACCACAGAAGGGTTCTGGGCCATTAAGAGCTTTGTTTGCTCCTGCTCGGGCAAGTGAGTCTGCCTCTTCATTGCCCTCGTACCCTGTATGTGATGGTACCCATGCTAGAGTCAATCTGTTCTGAGCTAGACAACTATAGACCGGTTTCGAGCTCTTTGGCTCTCATCAGTGCAGGGTAGTCTCCAGCCAGCAGTCTTAAGAGCGCCGACTAAGC